GGTGGAGCCAACTGGAAGTGAATTCAATGATGAGTGGCTAAGTGGTCTGATTTTGCCGTCATGTTTGAACCTGGATGCTAATTTTGAGTTGCTGGGTTATGACTATCATGGCTTGGATCATCAAGAGCTCGCACCGACGCTTAGTTCTGTCGTGGGCAAGAACAAGAACTTATGTTCACCTTATTCTTCAAGCCCGACACAGATGAATTCAAACTCAACGAACTTCACAAGTGCGGCGGAGGATGAAAAAGAAAGTTACTGCAGCCAGATTTTGAATTTTGAAATCCATGATATCTTTGATGAAGCTTTCACGTAATGGAAAATCAAATAAATCCGAAAAATTTAAACTTTCGACAATTTCAACCATAGCGAAATAGTTACAAACTCGTCATGAAAACAAAAGTAAAAACGACCATAATCGTCAAATGGGTTTGACAATTATGGCTTTATTGTTCGTTGACCCGTACGTTCATAACCTCACGATACAATATCTTTGACTCTCCCAACAATCCTTCTCTCAAACAAAGTATATCATAGAGTCTCTCTTGAAGTTTATGGAATTCTCGAATAATTTTTTACTATATTTTTGAGACACAACTTTTTTATTCGATATTTGAGAATTTTGTTGACATAGTTAAAGTTAAGGACATGATTTTGATATCAAATCCATGATCGTATGATATCGTCCACTTTGAGTATAAACTTTCATGACTTTACTTTTGATTTTTTTTAAAAAAAACCCATACTAATAAAGATGTATTTCTTGCGTATAAGTTCATGATCATTTCTTTAATTAACCAATATAGGACACACTCCCCCACAATCCCGAGCAAGAAGAACTCTTTGAACGAATTTAGAGAAAAAGACCAAAAACCATGATTCCGGCAAGGAGACAGAGCGGTAGGTGGCGGAGTTGACGGTGGCTAAATGGTGGTGACATGTGTCGGAATCAGCTCCTGTTTATAGTAAAAAGTGATAATCAGGCATGGGGATTATTACGATAATTTTATTTTATATATATATATATATATATTTGAAAAGTCAAAGGCTACGTGGCGGGAATATGGTGGGGACCACAAGGAAGACGGTGTTAAATGCTTTATTGACAATCACGGCATGGTTCATGTGTGATTATGTCACTTTCGACCCCACATTTTGTATTTATTGCTTTGTTAGTCAAAAATCTCAAAACCGCGACCTTAATGAGTCCTACGTCAGCATATTCGGACACGTAGTCTCAATAATGCAAGGTCATCATCTAATATGAATTTAAAAAATTCAAACTTTAATATTATAACATACTTTTCGATCGTTAAAAAAAATTCTATAAATATTATAATTAGATTTTAAATTTAATTAAAATATATATAATTAGACGGAGTGATGCACCGATTTAGATGGAGATGATGAATATAATCTCATCCTTATTCTATTTATCTAATGAGAAAAAATCAAAAGCAAAATCATAAAAGCTTATACTCAAAGTATACAATATCATACTACTGCAGAGGTCTGTAATTTCAAATATGATATCAAAATCATGCCCTTAATATTTAGCAATGTAAATAGAATCCTCAAGTCTCGAACAAAGTGTGAGTCTTGAAGGTATAGTAAAAGTGACTAAGTGTTGAACAAATGATGTACTTTATTGTTTTAAATTCATATGTAAAACAAGGTGCACTTTTCTTGTGAGATCCTACATCAGTCGGAGAGGGGAACAAAATATTTTTTTATAAAGGTGTGGAAACCTCTCGTAGTAGAGGCGTTTTAAAACTTTGAAAGGAAGTCTGGAAGGAAAAACCCAACGAGGACAATATCTACTAGTGGGCTTGAGTTGCTACAATTGGTGTAAGAGCCAGACATTGAGTGGTGTGTCAACGAGGATGCTGAGCCTCAAAGGGGGATGGACACTGCGCGTGTGCAGCGAGGACGCTGTCCCCGAAGGGGGTGGATTGTGAGATCCCACATCGGTTGGAGAGTGGAACAAAACATTTTTTATAAGGATGTGGAGATCTCTCTATAGTTGACGCGTTTTAAAATCTTGAGAAGAAACCCGGAGGGAAAGCCCAAAGAGAACAATATCTATCTGTAGTGGGCTTGGGCTGCTACATTCTTTTTCGATGGTTCAATTGTAGGAATTCTATAGGCGGGTGATCTACCAAAAGTTTTTCTCGAATGCATGTGAGTGAGGACAAACCATGCTGAAAGAACTCTTGGTATACGAGGGCTTGAGTTGTTACATTCCTTTTCGATGATTCAATTGTAGGAATTCTATAGTCGGGTGACCTACTGAAAGTTTTTCTTGAATGCATGTGAGTGAGGACAAAACATGTTGAAAGAACTCTTGGTATACGAGGGCTTGAGTTGTTACATTCCTTTTCGACGATTCAATTGTAGGAATTCTATAGTCAGGTGACCTACTGAAAGTTTTTCTCGAATGCATGTGAGTGAGGACAAAATATGCTGAAAGAACTCTTGGTATATGAGAGCTTGGACTGTTACATTCCTTTTCGATGGTTCAATTGTAGGAATTCTATAGTCGGATGATCTACTGAAAATTTTCTTCAAATGCACATGAGTGAGGACAAAACATGCCGGAAGAACTCGTGTTGGTATATGGAAATAGTCTTCATTATTAGAAGTGAGAAATAATTAATGTAACCACGTAGCAATGGATATTGGAGAATGCCCCGTACCTCGGATTTTTCCCTCTGCCTCGGGTTGTCTCGCGATCCCTTCTACAGCTTAGCCCGCAGCAGTACTTTGACCGGATCATCAAGTATATCGAATCTAGATTTCAAATCCTAGACATGAATCGTAAGTTACAATATTCCTCTCAATTTTTACAAATGTTTCAAAAATATCATCATGTTCGATTCTATCTTTCTTTCATATGTGCGGAACACCGCCCTCGCCGAAGGCTCCGACCACCCACACCCGCAGCAACTTCAGCACCGTTACCTCTCAAAACGCACTCGACCTTCCCCTCACCGCCGCAAAGTTCTTCCTTTTCGAATTTGGGTTTCCCCCATATTCTGTTATACACACAAATAACTATAAAACAATGAACAAAGCGAGAAAGAATGGCATACCTGAAAGCAGCTGCAAAAGTAGAGCCAGAAATGAGGAAGAAACGTGATTGAATGTAGCGCTGATGGAAACATGGAGTTATAATTGGTGTCATTACATCAACGCTGCACTCAATGACGTATCTTTCAATCTGGTTTGAGATAATGGAGGCGGTTCCCTTTGTTTATGGATACTTTTTATATTGAATGGTGGAGGGGCTGCAGTACACAGCTAGTTGTATACATTTGTACTATCCCTTATGGGTTGCTTATGAATGTTCCTTTCCTTCTTTTGGTTGTTCTAATTAATTGGATGTTTGATGACTTTGGTAAAAGATGTGTTTTTGTACTACTTTTTTTGTTTGTACTACAAGCTAGCCTTGTACTCCCTTTCTTTAGAATAGTTAGGAACTAACCAACATTCCCACCAAACCATTTCTTCTGTGTAAGAGTGTATACGGGTTCGGTTGGAGAACCTTTTTGGACTAACCCAGAATTTTGGATTGGTGACCGAGTAATTCGAACTTGTTTCAAAACCCAAACCTCTGTTTTTGGATTGGGTTAGGTTGAGACATTGGATTAAGACGAAAGGTTTAGAATAGTTTACTTTGATTTGTTGGTTGGATGTGCAACTAAGAGGGGGAGTAGGAGCAACGTGTGACTAAAGACATCATGTGGCGGCGAGCGACGAGTGAGATTGGGAGCGGCGTAGTGTGCTTAGTGTCTATGGTCGTATGCCTATTCTAAACCCCTTTTACATACTTTATTCTTAGATAGACCTTTCCCATTTCATGTTGTGTCAATATGAAGGTGTATAATCGTTCATCAAAATCATGTCTATACCTATCAGAGCTAAAATACCCCAAAGTGTATAATAGAAGGATATGACTAGTTATCACTTGTTACTAACGTGAGTTATATGTTATTTAAGTCGTGGTGTTTCTTTCTTTGTTTATAGTCTGATAACATTTATTTCTTTAGTTCTTCAATTTGTTTTCAAGTGTATTTCCTCATTCACGTTTTCTAAAACATTTCTCGCAAATGTGACCTGAGGCTCGAGCATATTCTGATTTTGTCTGTGAAGTCCGAATTTGTCACGGCTGACTTATTCATTAGATTAGAACAAGTGCGACACAATCGCTATCCTGCTGTCACGAGAGTGCAATTGTGACACTCAACCCACATCTACGAGCGGGATAGGCATGGTGGCATGGCACCGTGGATTATTTTGGTTGGGCAGGGTTCTTATTCTTTCAGCATCGTCGCACCACGTTTTATAATGGATCAAATTCGGTTTGCGTTTACTTGATTTTTTTTCTCTTTGAACCCAAAAACAAATGAAATTTGGTTCTAGAAAAAATAACCTTACACAACTAAATATTCTAGGTAACCCAACCCAACTCTTATAATTTATAATTTTTTATTTATTATTATTTATTATTATTATTATTATTATTTTTCTTCTAATAGGTTATTAATTTATTCTATTTTTTTAAATGAATGAATGTATGGAAAGTTATTTATAATTACCCATATTCTTAGTTATAAGGTATGATTTATAATTATTTTTAAATAGTTAAAAGAAATCGAGACCACATTCAAATAAGAGTAATCTTAGATGATAAGATGACTAATTTTTTTTTTATTAGAAGCACATTCATTTTAATGACTAAATCATAGAAACTTTATAGTTAAACGTATTTTGCTTGGAGCAACTCTATATTAGATGACTTCTTAAAAATTTTCTTAAAATACATATGAGTGAACACAAAGTATACTAATAGGACTCGTGTTGGTCTATAAGAATAGTAAAAGCGAAGAATAAGTAATGTGACTATGTTGAAGGAAAACGCAGGAACTAGATTTTTCTTAAGATGTATATGAGTGAAGACAATGTATTGGTATGTGAGAATAATGTTCATTCTTAAAAGCTAAAAACAAAGAATAAGTAATGTGATCATATCGAAATTATCGGATATCAAATCCTGAACATAAATCGATACAAGTCTAAGAATAGGCAAAGACTAGGAGTTGTGGGCAATATTACAACAGACACAGGGAAGCAAGCTAGTGACTGAAATTAGAACCGAAAGTTGGTTCCTTCGGGGCTTCTTCGGCACTTCACTGTGCCTATTGTAATGCTGCCTGCACTCCCACCAAATTCAATCTCCAGTTCTTAAAGAAACAAACCAAAAGGCACACCACCGTTTGTTCAATCTTGCATTTTCATTGCTACTTATAGCAAAACTGGTGTGGATTTTGCAGTACAAGCATTGGCTATGAACTCAATGAATTGTTGTACTCAGACCTTTCCCATGGCTGCTGATTTGATCTCTTGGGTTACTTTTGCAGTACATTGTACAGGTTCAGTACTTGTACTGCATTTTCCCATCTTATTTCCACACATTTCCCTGTTAATTGAACCCAAAATGAAAATATTTCCCCACTTGTTGACATCTCATGAATAAGACAGTTGGATATTGAAAATTAATCATATCACGTGGAACACAATAAGTTAACAACTATTAACAATAATATAAATCTAACTTAGTTGGGATTTAAAACTTTATTTTGAAGCATCTTAATTAAAAAGTTATTTCTAACCCGCCCTACCTAACACACCCTAAAGAAGCATTTAAGCTAAACATGTTCAAATAAAAAGCATTGAGGAATCTTGTGAGATCACACCATCGGTGGGGGAGGAGAGTGAAACATTCTTTATAAAGGTGGAGAACATTCTCCCTAGTAGACATGTTTTAAAAACCTTGAGGAAAAGCCCAAAAAAGAAATCCCAAAGAGGACAAGTAGTGGGCCTAGGCTGTTACAAATGGTACCCGAGCCAAACACAGCGCAATGTGCAAGCAAGGACACTGGGCCCCGAAGGAGCGAATTGGGGGTCCTGGAGAAGGGAACGAGTGCTAGCGAGAACACTAGGCCCGAGGGGAGGGATGGATTGTGAGATCCCACATCAATTGGGGAGGAGAACAAAACATTCTTTATAAAGGTGTAAAAACCTCTCTTCCAGCAGATGCGTTTTAAAAACTTTGAAGAACTTTGAAGAGAAGCCTAAAAGGAAAATTTGAAGAAGGATGGGCCGTTACAAATCCATATCCATCCCCCAAAAGACCATTAATATTCATTGTTCACAGCAAAACATTCACACCAAGACTCGCGTAGTATCCACTTTCTAAGATTCTTGTTGACAAATCTCAATTTAAAAACAATTCCAGCTTTCCACATTTTTATAAAGAACATACAAAGATTTAATATTGATACTGCCATTTTACAAGACTGTATACTCATTGGTTAAGAAAAGAAAAAGGCAGAAAGGATTATAGAAGAAAATCACAATCATGAAGTACCTCGGGCGATGGACTAAGTCTTCATGGCAGGCCTCACCAGCCCCAAGCCAGAGCCACTTCCCAAATGCTTGAAGTCTGTTGCTTCAAGAGAATCCCCATGGCCAGCAAACCCTGTGCCTCCCTTCTCCAAGTTCACCAAATCCCTTCCCTTGCATCCTTTGTTGCACACAAGGCAAACTTTATCCACAGCCATGAACTTATCAGCACACTTCTTACAGAACACATGCCCACATGTGCTTAGGGCCACAAGAGACATTGTGTTGGTTAGAGTAACCTTACAACTAGGGCATATGTATGTAACGTCGTAAGATTTCGGTTTCTTCCGCTCACTATTGTCCTCTGTGAAATGTATTGGGAAAAGGGACTTTAGCTTAAGTTTCTCGTTGCCTTCGGGACAGAATGTACTGCTTGAAGGAGCTCCTGCTTTAACAGGAGCTTCTGGTGTAGCTGAAGGCAGCCAAAATGCCTTCATGGTCCGAAGTGCCTCTTCTTCGTACGACGTAACCTTTACACTATTTGCTCCATGGAAACCATTCTTATCTTGGCTGTGGTTGCGGTCGTTGTATTGTGGTACCGCACCGTGGTTTTGCTGATCAAATGCATCGAGCTCTCTAGCTTTCTGTTGCCTCAATTTCTCTTCTGCTTCTTCCTTGTCTTGTTTCTGCTGAGCAGTATATGCAGCAAGCTTCCTGCAGGGTAACAAAAACATGATAATTAACAGAAGGACCAAACTGCATAGCCCCAAATGGGATGGATGAACAAATCAAGTTGAGGCAAACCAGAAAAGGAAAACTACATCCTACTACACTGTTCTACAATGCAACATGCAATTCTTAAAACGTTCCCATCACAATGATACGATAGCGAACTGGTCTAATATTCATATCGATAGAAACCTCAAACCTCAGTGTCGATAGCGGAATGTTAAATCAAATTCCCACCATATCAGTCAGACAATACTTGAAATACTTCTACTAGATTGATGTTTCTATGTTCATTATCGGTATCTTATTGGTATCTTATTTATGTTACTAGAAATTCACACCGAGTTACCTTATTGGTATCTCTAAATCCTTAACTATTTATTGGCATTGACCCTGTATTGAACCGTGGCCAATTCATAGTGGTCGGTAATATCTTATTTCCTTACAAACTACCAACCATGATCCCAATCAATTACCCAGAAATAAGATCAAATTTTTACCTTTGAATTACCAAAGATATAAGAAAGTCTTCAAAAAGCACGAACAAACACAGAAAACTAAGGAAAACAGTTTAAAGACAAAGAAAAAGCTACAAAATGATCAAAATTCGATCGCTATCCAAATACAGGAAGAAACTGGAATACAACTCTTTGGCACATCAATACTAACAGGTTCATAAGGATTAAAACCACTCGCCATCCACTTCTACGAACATTTTCAAAGAATTGTTTCGACTTTTGGGTGGAAGATACAATAGCCAAGCAATCAAATGTAAACATATAAATGAGTAAAAGGAACAAACCTCTGAATATCTTTCTTCTGAGCCAAAAGACACTCAAGAATACATTCTTTACAAAACGTGTGGCCCTTCTGGCAGCACATGGGATCGATGAAGGGTTTCAAGCACAGGCAGCAGACATCGAAGGGCTTGATCGAGTCCTTCCCAAGCCTCTCTTTCTGCGTTCCATATCCCAGCTTCCGTTTCTCATCATAGGTGAAGAAAGCTAGATCGTTATTGTTCTTCGAGTGTCTCTGAGGCATATTTCTCTACTCTCTCCAATTTAGAGCTCTGAAATTAACACAAATCAGCAAAATCAGAGAATTTGGGGGAGATGATGAACCCTAGAAATTAATGGAGCAAAATTCCCCTTTCCAAGTCGGGTCGGGTTTGTAGATAAATTGTAAAGAAGCTACCACAAAAACGTCGCCGTATTGAAGGTGATTTTGGTATTGGACCCTCCGACTTATCTTCCAAGCCCTGTGAGGCCCAATATGACATCCAATGAGATGAAGCTTGGAACCCACAGATTTTATAGGGCTATTTTTGTAATTTAGCCCAATAATTTTGTGCTATTTAAAATGTCTTGTTTTAAATAAATTAAAAAACTTTTTCAACAAAATGAGTGAAAACTATTCTCACAAACCAAAACGAGTCTTCACTCACATGTTTTGTAGGAAAATTTCTAAAATGTCACTCAAGACACAATTTGTTCGAGTAAAACGTGCTTAATTTTGGAGTTTTTATGATTAAGCCACGAAAAAGAATATATCTTATTGGTAAAGATATTAACTTTAAATTCTTTCAAGTGTTATTGAGTCATCCTATGTTCATGACCGTTTTAATTTAAATGGAGTATCAGTTCAGTTATGTATTCTTCCTTTATTCGAGTGTCACAATAGAAATAACTATGATATGGGCATAGAAACACATGAGGTGATTACAATACTCACTATCATTGACATATTATAACAATAACGAATGATAATATTACATACGATTATGAGACTTAGAAAAGAGATAATAGAAATTCAATCATCCCATTCTATCACGAAATTAGATAATTTAAGTTGTTTCATCTCATCCACGAGAATGACTTAGATAATCGAAAGAACACACAAATGGATAGAAGATGGTAGGAGGTTTAGAAAGCCACTCTATACATTGCTATCTTCCTTCATACTCTAAGTGCGCTTGGTCGTTGATATGTTCCACACAAAGATGCATTAAGTATCCACACAACATGAGGATCATATCTTAGCTTAAAAAGAAGGATGAAATAGGGTCGATCTCGACACCAACAATTGTACAAAGAACTTTAGTATATCACTAAAATGGATATGAATGACTATTTAGTTGCAATGCACTTTGGTGACTCATACGTCAACGTTCCATTCATTTATTTACTTCCCGTATGAGTGAAAGTACAAGTGTTACAAGTATATCGTGGAAAAATAATCATGACCCTCCTACTTTCGAACTCTACGTCCTTTTGTTTGATCCTTTTGATTAAGATGTTAGGATCGATTTTTGTTATCATGTTATATCCATTTATGTTGTTCTTGTTTTTGTATTTTCTTAATAGTTATGAAAAACCCTTTATTGTTATTATTATTATTATTATCATTGGTTTCTCTAACTATTGAAAATATATTTTTTATTTCACATTAATATAAATTAAATGCTTCATTCAAAAGTGTGAGATCCACCTGTGTTAGAAAGGAAAACAAAGCATTCTTTATAACGGTATGCAAACTTCTCCCTAATAGACGTATTTTAAAACTGTGAGGCTGACAACGATACATAACAAGCCAAAATGAACAATATTTACAAAAGTTGAGCTTGAGCTATTACAAATGGTATTAGAGTCAGACACTGGGCAGTGTGCCAGCGAGAACGCTAGGCCCCCAGTGGATTGTGAGATCCCACATCGGTTGAAGAGTGGAACGAAATATTCCTTATAAGGGTGTGGCTTGGGCCAAAACGGACAAGATCTACTAACGGTGAGTTTGGGTTATTTTAAAAAGTTTATTCTCAGACTTCAAAGCCAATTTCCATAATTCGGAGCCTCCACGGGTTCTACTTCCTAACAAGAGTCAAGACTCGAGGTAAAACAAATAATATCTATTAGCGATAGGTTTGGGCTATTACAAAAACCCTATTTTAAGACTTCAAAGTGGGTTTTCATACTTTAGGACCTCCAAAACTATCATAATGGATGAGGAACATGGGAGAAGGAAAGAGATAGGAAACATGAATCAAAAGCCACATCCACAGACATAAATAAACGTCAATCACTCTCTGTCTTGTTCTGTCCAATGTCCAAATTTTATAAGCACTGAAAACACCATAGCCACACATGTTCTTTCTTCCAATCTTCTACAATTTCCACCCATCACTCTCAGCCACAAATAAATCCACTCTCTACCGACCCTTTTCATATACATCCTACAATGACATGACATTCTACACTCTCTCTATTTTGATTTACTTTCGAGTAATTCTATGCTAAACGATTTCTTGAAAATTTTCTTAATATGCTCGTGTTGGTCTGTAGGTATAGTCTTCACTCTTTAGAAGTAAGGAATAAGTAACGTAGTCATGTAGCAGGAGATGCTGGTCAGGACCATCAAATACCAAATGCGGACTCGTGTTGGTTCCTAGAAATAGATAATTTTCATTTTTAAAAGTAAAATAATTATGGGCAACCTCCATTGCACTTGCAATTTAAATAATAATACTTATGTTAATTGCCCATCCATTGCACTTGCAATTTAAATAATATTACTTAAGTATGTTAATGATAGGCAGAAATCACATGGAGATGTCGAAAATAATATTTAAACTATATCCATTATGTATAATATATAGTTTTTAACATGTCTTAAATAAGTTTAATTTAGGATGATAATTGATAATCCCAAGAACTTTGCTCGAGATTCTTAATTTCTAAACCTTAATTAATACTATAATAGATAGCATTATTACGATGATACAAAAATCCAGGTCTTATCTTATATCATAACAAGTAAATAAAATAAACATCAAGCTATTGGGGCCCATGCATGTCACCTTAACAGCCGTTTGATGTGTTCTTCGACTTCAACGATGAAGATGATTTAATTTCATGTTCTTGATTTTGACATTTTTTTACAAACATTAACCCAAATCAAAGAACAGTTTAATGGAAGAAAACCCATCTTTTAACTGCGTTTCTTGATCATTTTGACGAGCTTGAAACCGGCGGCGGCGACAATGGAACCACTTGATTCTCATCGTCGTTGTTGTCGTCGTCGTCACGACGATATCCATCGCTGGAATCTTGATGGTTGTCGGCGACGTTATTTTGGGCATTAAGACAAGATTGACAAACGGAGATGGTAGGGGAAAGCTTGCGGCCAGTGGCAGTCCAAGGCGTGAAGGATTGGCAAATATGGCATAGCAAAGTGCGTGAGTGCTTCTCGACGATGAAGTTGGCTGAATGAACATTGGCGTCGCAACTCCAACACAAATTGGCTTGGTCGGATTCACAATATGTATTGGCTCTTGAAGCGCAAAGCTCACACTTCTTCTTCATAGTATTGGTGGGATGAGAGCATCGGATCCCTTTTGTTGTGGTTTGGGCTTTTAAAAGAACATAGGGACATATGGTGGGTAGGGGGTGCTTGGTTGTGTGCAAGTTGTTAAATTAAGAGCTATTTTGATTTAAATTTTTCTGTTTTTGATTCGACACGAGGGGGGAACTTGGGCTCATGTGTGTAGAATAGTGTTCTCTAGAAACGTCTGTTTTTCCATGTTTTTGAGAGTGGGGAATATGAACTAGAAATGGAATTAATGGGTTTTGTTTTGGGAATTTGAGCTTGGAAATGGGTGAGGATTTGCTTGTTTTGTAAGAGTAATTAGTGAAGATCATTTTAGTCTCTCACCCATCATGTATTTTCATCTTTGTGTGATCCCATTTCATCCTTTACTCCATATGTTGGTTGAAAGTAAAAGAATGATGATGTAGAGCTTTGAAAGTGTTGTTTTTTGTGTTAAAAAGGTTGAGTGTTTGTATAGTTTCTATTTCTTAGCTTATTTGATTCACAAGGTGCCTCATACAATATGAAAAGAGAAGCTTTATGATGCACAAAGCCATTAGCCATTAGCCAACTTGGCTCCTCTCACACTAAATGATGCACAAAGCCTAAAGAAGAGGCTTAGTTGGTTCCAAGTTCATTAGCATTCTCAATTGAGGCTTTGTCTCAATGCTTATGAGTGTGACTCCAATGTCCATGTTTGTCTTAGAGTTTGACTTCACCACGTTCGCGACTGATCTTCTTCATGAATCTCATTGTTTTCGAGTGCCACATAGATTGTTTGATCTCTTGAAATTCTTAACATGCTTTGTGGTTGTAGCTGTCTAGAATCTCATTATTTTTTAGTGCCACATAGATTGTTTGATCTCTTGAAATTCTTAATATGTTTTGTGGTTGTAGCTGTCTAGAAGTGAGTGAGTTTTTTTGTATCATGATTAGTCTTGTGACTTTGCAAGTTTGGTGTCGAAAAATTTTATTTGGTACTATTGAGATATACCCATTTCCAAATCGTTGGAGGAATTAAGAAACTCAACAGCAATAACTACAACACGTATGTAACATACATGATGTCTTATCTACAAGGACAAAACCTATAGGAAGTCGTTGGCGGAAGTAAAATTATGATGCAAGAAGAGGATCCTAATGGAGAATCAAAATAGGAAAAACAATGGTTGCCTTGAAGACCACAGTCGAAGAAGAGATGTTGGAATACATTCGAGATGACAAGACAATGAAAGAAGCATGAAATACGCTCTCGTGATGCTTTTCTCAAAGAAGAATGATCAAGGTACAACTTCTAGAGAACAAAATGTTATCAATTTCACAACATGCATGACGATTGTTCAATACTTCCATAGGTCAAGTCTATATGTCGAGTCGAGAGATTACTGAACTAGATTTAGATTTCGTCATTGGATAATCTTGAATGAAGAGGATCATCATCCATGAATTGCGACTAGAGTATAGAAACTTCTTTATTACTGTATAAGGAAGGCCCGCTCAAGTAGAGTTTGAAAATTTGCTAGCAAGCGAAGAAGCCATAACTGAGAAAATGGGAGGCATCAGGCTGAAGAGTGAAGAAGAAGTTCTCTACATAAGTAAAGATCGGAGCAACAATAAAATATGTGAAAACAAAAATAGTGACAAAGGAAGAAGTCACTAAGGAACCGCACGACATGAGAGAACTCAGAAGAATGACTACAAGAGTTTTCAAGAGAAAAGAGTTGAAGACATTTGCTATAATTGCGAAAAGAAGGATCCCATGTCTAAGGATTGTTGGTCCAAGAGAAAAGTTCGTTAGGCTTTCTCTTATGGACCCAACATCCTCGCTGACACTCGTTTCTCTTTCTAATTGATGTGTGATCTCACACTAACGCACTTTCGGGGTCCCAATGACACACCACTTGACATCCACCTTCCTTCAGGGCTCAGCATCGTCGCTGATACACCACTCGATGTCTGACTCTAATACCATTTGTAACAACCAAGTCCACCTAGCAGATACTGTCCTCCTTGGACTTTTCCTTTCAAGGTTTAGAATACTCGCTCGCACTCGTTCATCTCTCTAATCGATATGAGATCTCACATATATGAAAATATATTATATTTATATATAAAAAGTAAGACGAGAGAGGAATATAGGCGGGATTGAAGATGGAGACGAGAACTGTGAATAAAATCCTAGTCCCCGACTCCGTTTAGCTAACAAAGAAACTTTTCTCATTACGCATTTGTGATTAAATAAGAATTCTTCACTCATTAAATATACTATCTCTATTCATATAGCTTTCAATCTACTACAATAATGAGTCCTATTTTCATTAGTTTTAAATTCATAGTTGCACAATATTTTATCCCTCTCATTATCACATAAAACCAAGTGACACAAACCATATTTTAATATTCAATATAAAAGTAAGTAAAGATTATAAAATACAAATCAAACAAACTTTACATTATTTATGCAATAAATAATCAAAGGAAAGAAAAACAAAGCATATGCATATGTAGTGTGTGTATATATATATATGTATATATCTATTTAAATTTCCTTAACTTTTGCTGAAATAAATGTGTAGAGAATTGCATCAATCCAGGGCTAAGTTTGAACATGAGCATACAAAATTCAGCTTCACTCAATGCACCATCTCCATCCAAATCTCCTTCGCTCACCATCCCCATAGCTTCTTCTTCCTCCAATCCCAAAAACCCCATCTTTGTTCTTAAGCTCTCTGCCGTTATAACCCCTTTTTCTTTATCCATAAGCAAACGAAACCCATATCTCAGTTCCTCCATAAACCCTTTTACTCCAAGTTTCTCCACCATTGCAGGGAAGAAATCTCTGAACAAAACGACCCTGTTTCTTGACCCCATTGTGGATTATGAGATTGGAATGACAGAAATTTTGTTGTTGAAGGGTATTTATTGAGAAAGGAAGCGTGGAAATGAGGGAAGACAAGGAAGAATTTGGTTTTTATTTTATTTTTGTGAAAATTAATGAAGCTTTTGATGTTGTTAAGAAATGTTGGAACACGACCGTTTCTTTGTCGGAATTGTGGCTCCAAACTTCGTGGAAGCTGCTTGGGAAGGAACACACGACCATCGTGTTTAGGTTTTGAATTTACACGATGTTTCAGAGTTTAAATCCATAAAGGTTGGAACTTGAGAATAATCTGTTGGGTTTTGATGGGTTTGACAGATGAGGACTTCAATCTATATGGATTGGGTTTGAATTGGTCTTCCAATATGAATTAAATTATCTTATTTTCAAAGCTAATAATTACCATTTTTGAACTTATCATGTGAACAAATAATTAGAGATGAAGCGTAAGGAGTAGACTCCTCATTAAATTGCATTACAACTTCCTTCAATTACTTTCATTATTTCCTCTCCAACTTTATTTCTTATTTGACCCGGAAAATTCGATCCACCTAATTCATGGGTTTTGATTGGGTAATCAACTTATTTGAATTAGGCTGAAAAACGAAAACTTTATGAGTTGAGTCGTTGAGGGTGATTGAGAGTAAGAAACACGATCTGTATACGAGACCTTTTGGAAAATCAAAAGCAAAGCTCCGTGATTTCTAACTGGGGTTGGTTTATTGATTCTTCTGAAAGAATAAATAGATGTTTTACGTGTTAATACTTTTACTTGTATTAGAATTAAATCTGATAAATGTCTCGAACCAGGTGACATAAACATTCCATTTTTATTATAATATGTAATTTCACGAGATTTTTCGTCTTTCACACCAAGAAAATTTGGAAAATTTCCATCTTTCAAACTTAAAAAAAAAAAAATTGAAATTTTTATCTTTATAGGTGAAATTTCCATGAATTTTTATCTAAACAACCAAAAGTTAAACACTTTACCTTACCATTGCTTATATATATTTAATTTACATGTTTTGAATCGTTACAATATGACATACGTTCGACGTCAGTTTTATCAATTGAGACCATATTCGAAGGAGAATGATCTTGACGATATAATGATTAAGAAAGTCTTAAATAAAATAAAAGTTACTATCTATATAACCAAGATGCATCTTTCTTTTCGGTTGCTCAATCGTAAGAACTTCATGGTTTACTTGGAACAATTCTATATTGGGTGACCTCGGTGAGTAAAGACAAAACATGTTGGAAAGACTCGTGTTGGTTTGTGAGGGTAGTCTTCATTCTTAAGAAGAAATGAGTAGGTAACAACATGACCATGCAGCAGGAGACAATAGCATTACCTTATATCTTGGTTCTAAACCATCATATCCATTAGAACCTTATAAAGTCCCTCCAATTGTTTGATTCACGTTGTCATAAACGACCATGAATGCTTATCTAGGCTTGGGTCATCTCGTCTCAATGCAACGTTGCTTTTGTTGCAGCTAGAACAATTTTTATATATATCCGTGAAAAAACATGATTATTAACTCATATTTTGTACAATCCGAATCAAAATACCAACGCCTATTGGCTCTATAGGAAGTGGCTATTTTGAATCACATGAAGGATTCCACTCTGTTAGTTCATTGCAAGTCAAAAAACGATGATTTAGGTGAACATATGATCCAGCCTCAAGGCAAATACTATTGGATGTTCGGTGAAAATTTATGACAAACAACACTATTTTGGTGCAATTTCAGTAGCAAACATGGACAGACTTCTGGTAAAGTGTTTTGGTCAGATAAAGGAAATTGGCTTAGTGATCGATGTGATCGTAATACCTGCGTTTAGGCAGCGAGAGACGATGGCATTTCCTTACGTCTTGGTTCGTTTGATTCATATCAATTAATATACCCTTGGAAATGATTTCACCCAACCTTAGTTGAGTTAATTTCAACTCGAACACAACGGTTGATCCAAACATAATACTTTAAGCAATGACAACCCTTATTAGTTCTTTAAATGTCAATCCATTAATGTCAAGCATGTTGATGGTAATTAAAATAAAACTCAACATAGTTGTTTTTTTTTTCTTCGTATAATTAAATGTCACATTAACCTCATGAAGTTAAAAATGGTTCAAATAAGATTATTAATTTAGTCTCTAAACTTTAGTCCCTAAACTATTAAAATTATAAATTTAATTCTATTTCAATTAGTAAAATGATATTAGATCATGATATGCTATGACATGCTATGAAATGTTTTGAAATAAAGAACAGCTACAAAGCACAACCTCATGCTATGATTTTAAAGTTATGTTATGAATGAAACGATTTAAGGAAGTTTAAATATGCATGTCTCTGAGTATAATATGTGAGGAAAGAATAGAGGTCGTCTTGTGAAGTATTTTAGCATATATGAAAAATTGGTTTAGTGATCAATGTTACGATGTAATTGAGCTTCATTGGGTTGATTGCATTTCCTTACATCTTTGTGTACATAAACATTGAGTTACTTCCCATTTACGATGATGAGTATGAACGCATACGCTACGATGATGATGGTGATATTGCCGCGCATGACACTCAGGGGTCAGTGACCTCCAGAGTTCGCAATGGACAGCTAGCTCGACTAGTCCAGGGGTGGTGCGAACCGTCTGGGTATCCACGCTCGCACGTGTGGGTCGTCTGTAGGGATGTACCACACATCCAATTTTGTCCGAGCTGGAAGTCACCCCTATGATGGTTTTAACGATAGGTCCCTAGATCATGAGTTGCATGTGTTTGGATTCTCTAAACGCAATAGTGTGGGTTACTAAGTATTTCTTAAAATACTCCAGCCACGTGCAATTTCTATTTCAGGTAAAGGCAAGACATCCTGTACAGCTGATGATGGAATCGAAATTCGAGACCATGACACATGCATAGAGTAGTTGTACTTCTTTTCTTAGATTTAGGTTAGAATAGGGTGTTTTTAATTTTAATGCTTATTTATTTCACTTAGTATTTCTTTGTGTCGTTTTAAAGATGTTTTCGGAACACGTAAGTCTATGGTAAACACAACATATCAACTTTCCACCCTCAGTCAAACTTTTCTCCGTTGGAGTTTCCAAACATGAAATTTTATTGAGTTCCCAAATATGAAGAATAATAAGTGCATAAACTCATGAAATTTCGTCGAGTTTAATTTCATCGAGTTCTCAAACACGACAACTATATGATTTAGATTCACCGTCAATTACTTTATATTCAACCTTGCTAATAGGATGAACTTGAAAAAATAAAACCATAATCAACCAAATAGGATTAAGAACCACTTTTGTGTCTAGATAATGAACAAGAACGGAAGGCATGAAAATAATTAAGAACTCTCATAAGCTTTCTTTTCGTTTGAATTCGATATGCTAACGTTTCTATTTAGATCAACTCAAGCCACCACTGTGTCCTTTTCAAATATGTCCTAATTGATCAAAATGGTTGATCCAAGAATGAATTTGTTTTGTGGTTTTGTTGCTTGTTTTTGCATCCGTCGTTAGCAACAACATGTTGTTATCGATTAGATTTGGTTCCTTATGGATTTGTGGAAAAAAAGTGTTCATATTAAACTCCAAAAAAAAAAAATGAAACCTCAAAACATCCTATGTTTCATCCTATTGTGAATCAAACAGGATTATTAACTCAGGTTTTGCACAATCTGATACCAAATACGAGCGCCCATTGTCTCCATGCCGAGTGGTTATTTTGAATCACATGAATGATTCTGTTAGCTCATTATAAGTCGAAAGATGACGATTTAGGTAAGCATGTGATCCAGCCTTGGAGCAAATATGACCGGATGTTTAATGAAAATCTTTGGCAAACAACACTATTCTGGTGCTATTTTAGCAGCAAACATAGGCACACTTCTGGTCAAGTGTTTTGAATAGTGATCGATGTGAAAGTAATACCTGCAAGTGGGTTGCGGGTGACGATGGCATTTCCTTACGTTATGGTTCGCTCGATTCATATCAATTAATAAACCTTTGGAAATGATCTTACTCAACCTTCCGTTGATTTCAACTCAAACACAACTGTAGATCCAAATATAATGCTTTATGAATGATAACCCTTATTAGTTCTTTAAATGTCAATCTTAGTATATTGATGATAATAAAAATAAAACTTAACATAGTTCTAAAAAATACGATATAGGGTTTAGGGTTTAGACGTTTTTTAAAACCGTGAGACGATGATAATACCTAACAGGACAAAACGAATAATATTACTAGCGGTTAACTTAAGATGTCACATTGGTTATGTTAGAAAGTGAAGAGATGGGCTCTAAAAATCGAGGTCTCTTGCTTTCTTTCATCCCATTTGAACGATTTGGAACGTATCGAAGAGTACACTCCCTGCATCAAAATTAAATTCGGTAAATGACTTTAATATATGATTATGATTAAAATTGGTAAAAATATGACCATTTTTTAAAAAAATAAAAACAAAATACGACTTCGTTGACATTTATATAATCATGATTAATGGCTTCACACGATACTTAATTAATTGTTTATTTTGTTTTTTTTTTCAAAAGTAGGTGGTCTCCGACTAATATGAGACTTCACAATCCACTCCCTTTAGTTTAGTGGCCTAACGTCCTTGCTAATGCACCATTCGATGTACCATTTGTAACAGTCCAAGTTCACTACTAGCAGATATTGTCTCTCCAACCAACCTTATCATCCATGTTTTTATTTTCTAACCTTTGAACAATTGTTGATTGGTACAACATCTATTGTTCTTCCTATATAAGACCATTAAAACAAATTGGTTTTTCTACCCAATGCACTATCTTGCTATAATTGTGGTAAGTGTCACATTGTTTACCGAATAGGTATCTAAATTTTGTTGAGATGAGTCCGTGTTGCCTTCATTTGGTCTGCCAACAAAGCCAGGTTGCTTTAGAGAAGGAAGATTTACCATTTCACTATTGAGCATTGAAATAACCGTGGAGACGTTTGGTCTATCTTTTATAAATTCTTGAACGCATAAGAGCCCTACATGAATGCATCTCAAAATTTCTTGATGGTAGCACAATCATATATTGTCGGTTCAATCACAGGAACAAGGTTGCTTTCCAACCACAGCTTCCATGCCTGAAATCAAGTTAAGAAGAAATTTGTATGAGACATTGAGATTTGAATGGTATTATCAACTTGTACGTGGAGTTTTGTAGACGTACGAATCCCAATAAGCTTATGGCATATTCATGGTTGTAGAAATCGGTATTTTTTCTTCCACTCATAATTTCGAGCAATAACACTCCAAAGCTAAATACATCTGTTTTCTCTGAAAAATGACCTTGCATTGCATACTCCGGAGACATATATCCACTATATTAAATAAACACACATGAATGACTTTCTTTTAGCTGCATAAAAGTACGTAATCAAATTACTATAAAATGATGAGAAGTGTACTTACTAAGTTCCAACGACTCTTATGGTGTTAGCCTGAACTTTGTTGTCACAAAAAATTCTTGCCATACCGAAGTCTGAAATTTTAGGGTTTAAGTCTTTGTCTAGTAATATATTACTTGCTTTCAAATCTCTATGAATGATTTTCAATCTTGAATCCCTATGAAGATAAAGGAGACCTCAAGCAATTCCGTCGATAATATTGAATCTCTTCCACCAATCCAAAAGTTCTTGTTTTCGAGAGCCTATAAATGAATGGAATTTTGTTTTGATTAGTGAATCAACTCCGAACACAACAAGAACTTCGTCAAATTTTCACAAATATCTTACCAAAAATTAACGCATCCAAGCTAGGTGGGGCATGTACTCATAAATCAACATCTTTTCTTCTCCATCGATGCAACAACCAAAGAGGCGTACAAGATTTCTATGTTGTAGCTTAGAAATCACCTTCACTTCATTCATAAATTCTTCGTACCCTTGGTTGGAGGCTCTCGATAGCCTCTTTACAGCTATTTCTTGTCCATTTAAGAATTTTTCCTGTCGAAAATTGCCCACGAGATCAAAATAGGTAGAAAGTAATGGAAGTGGAAGAATAACTTGAGGGAAGAACTTTAAGCACTTATGTTTATTAATTCTTTTTTTAGTTGGGTAAATAGCATACCTCTGTTTAGAGTGGAGTTTGCATGATCAATCTCCTAAACTTTCAAATCAAAATCTCCTAAACTTTCAAATCAATATCTGAATCTTCCTAATTCGTCTCGTAAACTTTTAAATTAGTGACTACTAAATTATCCTAAAATCGATTTAGGTTAACAAGTTCTTTTACTAAGTCAAGCTTATTAACTTACAAATAAGACATATTTTCATGAACGGATATAAAAACTACCTACCTTATAGACAGGACCAAAGCCACCTTGCCCAAGCTTGTTGCTAAGAGCAAAATTGTTGGTAGCAATTGCGAGCTTCTCAATATCATAAAAGGGTACCTCTTCAAGTTTGATATCATTCCCAATCATGTCATCCTCCCTTGTAAGTTTCGAACCCTTTTGTTGGCCTCAAATAATTTAATGTGAGTTGTGAGTTATGTTTGGATTGACAAATATAGGAGTAATGTAATCTTTTGGATTACCTTGGTTGTAAGTCTTCCATTTACACCAAACAAATACGGCAATTATGAAGATGATAAAGGTCGTCGGTAGCACGATTGCTGTAATAGTTCCTTTTTTGTTATTTACATTATCTGTGAATGAAGGAAATAATACAAAATTTTAGATGGAACAATATCGTAATAGTTCAAGCTCACCACTAATAGATATTGTTAGTTTTGGACTTTTATGTATCGTTGTCAGCCTCGTGGTTTTAAACATGTATACTGGGGAGAGGATTCCACACCCTTATAAGAAATGTATATGAGATCTAACAATCCACCTCCTTGGGGGCTAGCGTCCTCACTAGCACACCGATCGGTGTCTAACTTTGATATCATTTCTAACTGCTTAAGTTTACCGCTGGTAGATATTGTTCACTTTGACTCAGTTAAGTATAGTCGTTAGCCTCACGATTTAAAAACGTGTATACTAGGGAGAGGTTTCTATATCCATATAAGAAATATTTTGTTCCCTCCTCCAACCGATTTGGGATCACTTTGGCTCGTTACGTATCGTCGTCAACCTCACAATTTTAAAACACATATACTAGAGAGAGGTTTCCACTTATAAGAAATGTTTCATTTTTCTCTTCAATCGATGTGGGATCTAACAATCCACTCCACCCAGGGGCCAACCTCCTCGCTGGCACAGGCACACTGTTCAGTGTCGGGCTCTGATACTATTTGTAACAGCCTAAGCCCACCATTAACAGATATTTCCCACTTTGGCCCATTACATATCGCCGTCAATCTCACGGTTTTAAAATGCATAAACTAAGAAAAGGTTTTCACACCCTTCTAAGGAATGTTTCGTTCCCCTCTAACAATCTACCCCCATTGGGGGCCAGCGTCCTCGCTAATATATTGCCTAGTGTCTAGCTTTGATACCATTTTTAACCTCTCAAGCCCACCACTTGCAAATATTATCCGTTTCGACTTGTTACGTTTAGTCATCAACCTCACAATTTTAAAATGCATATACTAGAGAGAGTTTTCACATTTTTATAAAAAAAAAATGTTCCGACTAGAGAGAGAGTTTAGGGAGAGTACATACTTGGATGATCTAATTCTCCATAAGCCATTCGTATGTAAAGATCAGCTCCACCAATCTCAAACTTTTGCATATCAATTAACTCCTCCCTTCTCCATTGCATACAACGAAGACCATCTTCATAAGCAATAGCGTTACACGAACAATTCTGAATAAGAAAGAGTAGACCATTCAGCAAAGTAAGGCACTTTAACCCTTTCAACTTTCTGAAACCCATCTTCTTGAACACTACCATTGTTCAACCTCTTACATTGCAATGGCATCCTCTTAACACATCCACCACTCCAATCTCCTTGCTTCCACTCCTCCTCATGAGGTAATCTTGACCTTCTCTTTGGTTCTTGTGTTCGTGATGACTTTCATGGAAGTCAAGAATTTATTAGATGGGTTTTTGAAACTCTCCCATATGATCTTCCCAGAAGTTGAATTTTCCAAAACGAGGTTGCCTGAATCCAAAATTCGGGCGATTGAATCTATGCTTGTTGTTGTTGAAGAAGAGGATGAAATGTTTGAAGACCAGAGGACGGTGTCGTTTTGATCCAACACGACAAGATTCCCATCCTTGGAAATCGTGAAAATCCCCGAAGTATGATTCAGAGGGTTGTTTGCATTAGCTACCCATACGACAGTTTGCAAGGGGATTTTGGTGTACCAAATTCCGACATATCGGGCGGTTGAATTGAGTGGTGAGAAGAAGCCCAGCTCGAAGGAGCTTCCATTGGATGTTATGGTAGCTTGGTCTTTGATGAAACTTGTTGATGTGATCGTATCTTTGCCATAACCAAATCTTGAAGCGAAGCAAGTAAATGAGAGAAGAAGAAGAAGAAGAAGAAGACGATGACGACTGTGACGATATGAAAATCTCGAGCTGATCTTTCTGGTCGCCATGGATCTCTCTATCATCATAGTTATTGAACTTAAACTGGGTGGAAAATTAGTCTGTAAAAAACAGACTCGGGGAGGTTGTCAACCTCTCAAAGTCATCCAATTCAGCTCGTTCTAGTCGCTTTCTTGTTTTTTTTTTAAGTAAGAGTTGAAGATTATGTTTTTTTATACAATAAAAATGTAGAGATGTTCATCGAGTAGGTAGAAATGGGAAGTATTTTCCGTTCATATCAGCTACTATTTTAATTATGATAGTTCCAAATTTCTCATTTCTTTTTTTGCTCAATTGGGATGGAATTTTTTAATATTTGTTTCAAAAAAAGTTTTGAATGGATACTTCTTTTAACTTTCCTATAACAAATAAAAAATTTCCTTCAAATTTGTTCTTCTAAACAAAATTACCCACAAGTTTGATGAAGGAATAGAGCGTTGAAGGAGTCTCAAACACCAATTTCCATTCATGTTCACCATTAAAGGAGGAAATTTAAGCTTGAAATTTCAATCCGAGCCTACAAACAAAGTCGTCGAGAGACCAATCTCATTCGATTTTTGCACCTTCAAGAAATATTTCAATCAGAACGTGTTCTGTTGAAGAAAGCCATTTCTCGGCCAAATGAGTCCTACCCATTTAAATTTTAATATTACAATCTCTTTCTCCCTACTTTATCCGTTAGTGACCTTATCTAAAAGTCTTTGAATTGACTTAGTATTCAGTGGAAATGGCTTCGAAATTTCATAATATTTCGAATTTTCTTTCCAAACAAAACTATGTGAACTGACAAATATTATATACCAATTTCGAGAAAAACTAATACACATGTCATTGACTTTCTTTAATACAAATAAATTTTGAGTATGATAAAATTTTAAGAAATGGATCAAATAGTTCTTAGCTTAAATGAGTTTATTTTTAAAAAGTTGTAATAAACATTTTTTAATTTCAGGTCGCTAAAGAGAGTGAGGATAAAGAAGTCTTTTTGTTTTGTTCTCGATCTATCCACACGTCCTCCAAGTAAGCAAATGAACCCAACAATATGATAACATACAATTAATTAGGAGTAACAAACTAGTCGTACTCCGTCGTAGTACATTATGAGCTAATGTCACTCTGAAATGTCTAGTATAAAAGATGGCAAAAAAAAGTCGAAGAGGTTAGAATGAACATGCGCTCTATAAGACATTCTCTATTACTTATTGTTCGAAGAGTTACTAACTTCAATATTCAATGCACTCACAATTGATCTTTGCACCAAGTTATTTTATCCACTTCACAAAGAACTTGTGGCACCCGAATAAAGGAGGGATACGTGAATGAACCAAAATAGTGTTCGAATGAGAGCGAACTTGAGGATAGGATGAGTAAAAAAAACTTAAAGTAAATGAAATTTACTACCTATATCAACACGATGCACCTTTCTTTTCGGTGGCTTAATTATAGAAACAGTGTTGGTATGTGGGGATAGTTTTCACTCTTAAGAAGTAAGAATTAGATAACGTGACCATTACTAATCGAAATAGATGGAACCCCTCTATATGCACGCCCTCAACACTTGCCTCACAATTTGAATACCTTGCAAGGCTAGCACCTTAATGCCAATTGTAGGGTCTCGATGCTCTATGTGTGAAATTTTTGGCTTGTTTTGTGCATTTTGGAGAGTCCCAATGCTTTCCTCACCGGCGTTTTGGCTTGGTTTCGATCTTCTCTGTTGTGTCGTAGTGCCAAAACCTCGCACAGCTCTAATACCACTTGTTGTGTTGTAACGTCACAACCTTCAAATCTCTGATACTATTTATTGTGCTATATAATGCCACAACAAAAAATAGTTTGATATCCAATTGTTGTAGCGAAATGTCACAACCAAAATGTTCTGATACCACTTGTTGTGTCAAATGCCACAACCAAATTGTACTAATACCCAATTGTTGTAGCGGAAATAGAAGTAAAATCGATCGCACTCACACAGCCATATGACTCCACGTGATTCTCATAACTTCACATTTCAAAACAATGCTACACTTATTCCACGAAGTTGGTCTATTTGTGTCGTTTCTGTTCAACGAGCTCTTGCTACTTCATGACACTCCACGCTTGGCCATCTTTACCTTCCTCGATTGAATCCGTTGAAGAACATTTCGCATATTGATACTTCTAAAGCTAATCACGTTGTACCATGTGATCATTGTCTGCTACCTAAGCAATTTGTTCCCGTAGATGAACAATTGCTAGAGATTACATTTGATGACGAAGTGGCTGAGCTCAATCCATCATTCAAGATATGAACATAGTTCTACATTCAAATTTGTGGGAGAAGTTTGAAAGCAAAACATTAGTTTCAGCTCAAATATTATATCGATGTTCGAGTCAATGACTAATTTTCCACCAAACAAAATCAATCGTGCTCATCCACCTACTGAGTTTAACTCATTACAATAAAGGGTCAAAGCTTCGTGCAAGGAAATAAGAAATGGAAAATATGACTCCCACCAGCAATCTCTTATCTTCCCTCTTTTTCTTCACACTCATACCTCTGTTTTCCAGAAACTCCATAGCAGACTATACCTTAAAACAAGGCCAATCCATTAACGATACCCAATCAATTGTTTCCGCCGCCGAGATATTTGAATTGGGATTCTTTAGTCAACCCCAAGCCACCAATTTGAAGTATTTAGCAATATGGTACAAGGGTGTCACTCCCAAAACTGTCGTTTGGGTGGCAAACAGAGATACCCCTGTTTTAAGCTCCTCTGCCACTTTAAACTTCAAAAGAGATGGAAATTTGGTTCTTATGAATCAAACAGGCGCAGCTTTTTGGTCGTCAAATTCGACAAAATCAATTCAAAATCCAATAGCTCAGCTGCTCGACACTGGAAATCTGGTTTTGAGAGATTCAAAATCAGAAGATTATGTGTGGCAGAGTTTTGATTATCCGACTGATACTCTGTTACCGGGCATGAAAATCGGGTGGGACTCCAAAACGGGTTTGAATCGAAAGCTAACATCATGGACAAGTTCAATCGATGTATCGTCGGGGGAATTCAGTTTTAGTCTCAACACAAATGGGCTTCCTCAATTCTTTGTTCATAAAGGAAACAAGACGATGTTTAGAGGTTGGCCTTGGTTCGATCATGATTTTGGGCAGAGTTATGGTAATGGATTCAATTACGATCTTGTCTTTGATGCTTCAACAGAGATATCCTTTTCATATAACGATTCAGCGCATAGCCGTACGAGAATTGTGATGGATTCAAGTGGGTCAATTCTTCGGCATGAATGGAACGATGTGGGAGAAAAATGGCGCAAAGCATACTCATTTGATGGAGCTGGCTGCAATGACTACGATTTGTGTGGGAATTTTGGTCTCTGTAATCCCGCAGTGACAACAAGTTGTGGTTGTTTATATGGGTTTGAACAAATATCAACAAAAAACTTGTCAAATGGGTGTGTTAGAAGGGATCCAAAGATCTGCGAAGCTGGAGATGGGTTTATGAAGATAAGCAAAGTGAAATGGCCTGATTCTACAGGGGATTCGGTGAACATGAAACTGGGTGTTAAAGATTGTGAGGCAGAGTGCTTGAAGGATTGCGGTTGTTTAGCGTATGGAACAGTGCAAATTCCTAAAATTGGGCTTGCCTGTGTCAATTGGTTTCACAAATTGGTTGATATTCGTTATGTTCCAGATGTTGGGTCGGGAGATGATATCTATGTGAGAGTTGCTGCTTCAGAATTAGGTATCTGCTTAATAATTTTGCATGAACAAAGCTGAGTTGGGTCTGATTCTTTTGCTCTGTTTTTGCATTTTGAAGAAGCGGCTGATGAAAAGCGTAGTGTTGCAGTGGTTGTTGCTGTGCCGATCGTATCAGTGATGGTCTTTTTGGGTTTGATTGGCGGTTGGATTTTCATTAGGAGAAGAGCTAGAGGTAAAGCCTTGTTCCTCCTCATTTTCACGACCATAAGCTTTGTTAGGAACCACGAATCTCCGCAATCGTATGATATTATCCATTGTGAGCTTCCCCTCGAATAAAGTACACTGTAAAATCTCCCTTGAGGTTTATGGATCCCTCAAACAGTCTCCCCTTAATCGAGACTAGACTCCTTCTCTGGAGTACTCGGACAAAGTATACCCTTTGTTCGACACTTGTCACTTTTGACTACACCTTCCCAACCCTAAAGTCTATGATGCCCTTGAACAACCTCCCCTTAATCGAGGCTCAACTCCTTCTTTGAAGTTTTTCAAACAAAGTACACCATTTGCTCAACACACGAGTCATTTTTTACTACACCTTCCCTCTCCTAAAGCCTATAGAACCCCGAACAGCCTATCTTTAATCGAGGTTTGACTCCTTCTCTGGAGTTCTTGAGCAGAGTACACCCTTTGTTTGACACTTGAAGATTCTATTGACATGGTTAAGTTAAGGGCATGGCTCTGATACCATGTTAGGAATCATGATTCTCCACAATGGTATGATATTGTCCAATTTGAGTATAAGCTCTCATTCCCAAAAGGCCTCATACCAATTCTTATAAACTCAGGATCATTCTCTAAATTAGCCCATATGGGACTCCCTCCCAACCATCCACGACTATATATATGCTCATTTCTATTACCATTTTTGTGAATTGTGGCCAAATCTCATGCAGGTAACCATGAAGTTCTTATAGTTCCTCCAATTCAAGAACATGAACTAGAGATACCCATTGGCGTTCTTGAGGCAGCTACTGAGAATTTCTCTGTTTTTAATAAGATAGGAGAGGGTGGTTTTGGGTCAGTTTACAAGGTGCTCTTTAAAACATTCTCTAATCTTCAATAAGTTCACGTTTTCTTTCGTTTAATACATGAAATTTCTTGCAGGGAAAGCTCCCAAATGGGCAAGAAATTGCAGTAAAAAAGCTAGCAGAAACATCAGGTCAAGGGTTGCAGGAGTTCAAAAACGAGGTCCTTTTCATTTCTCAGCTACAACATCGAAATCTTGTCAAGCTTCTTGGTTTTTGCATCCACAATGAACAAATTTTACTCATCTATGAGTATTTGCCTAACAAAAGTTTGGATTGTTTCATTTTTGGTTGGTATCAAGCAAACCTTCATTTACAATTACGTTTGATCTATCATATCATGACTGTTATATTTTAGATGATCAAAGACGTTCGTCGCTCACTTGGCCAAGAAGAATCGATATCATAATTGGCATAGCTCGAGGACTTCTGTATCTCCATCGAGATTCAAGGCTTCGGATCATACATAGAGATCTTAAAGCTGCGAATATTTTGTTAGACAATGAAATGAAACCGAAGATTTCTGACTTTGGTATGGCACGTATGTTTCGCGAAGATCAAACCGAAACAAAAACGAGGAGAGTTGTTGGAACTTAGTGAGTAACAAAGATTTTACCTTATTTTGTTTATATGTTCGTATTCTAACTATGTATAATGTGTTGGTATCTGTAGTGGCTATATGTCTCCTGAATATGTAATAGACGGTTATTTTTCAGTGAAGTCTGATGTTTTTAGCTTTGGAGTGATGGTTCTAGAAATCGTTAATGGTAAGAAGAACAAAGGGTTTTTTCATCCCGAGCATCAACTCAATCTTCTTGGACATGTAAGTACGATAAAACCGCGTTTTTTGTTTCTTTCTTTTCTTAGAATGATCTTGTCAATGGACTTGTTTTAGGCATGGAATCTTTGGAAGGAAGGAAGGAGCTTGGAATTAATAGATGTAATATTGGAGGATCAATTTGATGAACATGAAGCTTTAAGATGTATAAATATTGGGTTGTTATGTGTTCAAAGACGTCCAGAAGACAGGCCAATTATGTCGGCTGTGGTATCCATGTTGGAGAATGAGAACATGAGATTAATGGTTCCTGAACGACCTGGGTTCTATGAGGAAAGGTTCATAGAGACTGGTATTGATTCATCATTAAATGATCAACTGAGTTCTTCATCTAATAATGTCACTGTTACATTGCTTGATGGACGTTAAGGTGTTGGATTAATCGACCAAGTGACTATGTTTCTAACGATATTTGATTCATTATAGGTTGTTGATTTTATGTTTATCAGTTATGTTTTTTTTTTCTTTTTTCTTTCTATTGTTTAGTCAGCTTGGTTGGATTTGTATTTTTTACAAGAAAAATTTCTGTTTGTATACAAGGAAAATGACATGAGACAGCTACTTCATAAATATGATTGAATGCTATCGTAGACTTAGACTTTAAACTCTTTGGTAGTTGAAATTTGTGTGATCTCACATTGGTTGGAGAGAGGAACGAAGATTTTTTTTATAAGGGTGTGAAAATCCCTCCCTAGTAGATGCTTTTTAAAATTTGGAGGCTGACGACGATACGTAACGGATCAAAGTGAACAATATCTGTTAGCGGTGGGTTTGAGCTGTTACAAATGGTATCAGAGCTAGACACCGAACGATGGGTCAATGAGAACACTTGGGGCTTGGGCTGTTACAATTGGTAAAAAGGCCAGGCACTGGGTAGTGTGTCTGCGAGGATGTTGTGCCCTCAAAGGGGGTAGACCGTGAGATCTCACACATCGATTGGAGAGATGAACAAAACATTTATTATAAGAATTTCGGCGAGGACGTTGTGCCCCAAGGGGGTGGACCGTGAGATCTCACATTGATTGGAGAAGGGAACAAAACATTTCTTATAAGCATTTCAGCGAGGATGTTGTGCCCCCAAGGGGGTGGACCATGAGATCCCACATTGGTCGGAGAGGGGAACAAAACATTCTTTATAAGGGTGTCAACGAGAATGTTGTGCAATCAAAGGGATGGACCGTGAGATCCCACGTCTATTAGAGAAGGGAACAAAGTATTTCTTATAAGGGTGTCAACAAGGACGTTGTGCCCCTAAGTGAGTGGACTGTGAGATCCCACATCTGTTGGAGAGGGGAACAAAGACTGTGAGATCCCACATCTGTTGGAGAGGGGAACAAAACATTTCTTATAAAGGTGTTAGCGAGGACGTTTTGCCTCCAAGGGAGTGGACCATGAGAGAGGAAGAAAACATTTAATAAACACATTTTTAAATCGTGATAACCATCAAAACGGGGCTTAGGCGGTTACAAAATTCCATAAAAATTTGTTGCTTCGTATAACACGGATTGTATCAACACATCCTTGAATTTCATGTCATTTAGAACAACCTAAAGTTCATTCTTCCATCAAATAGTAGCTCGTTTATACACTCACATAACCAGAAACAGACTTAAAAGCAATTTGAATTGAAACGATTCAAAAGCAAAGTCATAAACTATTTATATAGTAGTTTGAGCTCATCCTTTCTTCACCAAATGTTACTCTTTCTATTATTTTGTCAAAGAAAACTACAGTATCTCAACCATACAAAACGATTGGGACTGAATAATAATCTAATTCTCACAGCTGTGTTCAAGATTGAATTTGACTTGGCTTGTTCTTCATCAAACAAAGTCATTCTAAACTAATGGTTAATTAATCTCAAGAACAGGAACAATGCACTGAATTATACTTAAAAAAGAACAAAGTCACTTCTTTGATATTCAGCTCAGTTTGTCAAGTCGAATCTCTTCTGCTGCTTCATGATGATTGTCAACTGTTATGCCTCTTACGGATCTTACCTCATCTTTATGACTTTTTCTCACTCGTAGAAGTTCTTCCTTAATTAATCTTAATTGTTTAAGGTAAGAGACAATTCAAGAAACCTTATAATACTCGAACAGATTCTAGAGTTATCTTCTTCATAGTAAACGGTGTGACAATGACGTTTCATTCAATCAATACTGGCCCCAAGGATTCAAGATGTTAAATTCAAAGTTGATATCTAAGTCAAAATGCTGAATGAAGCCATGGGAGAACTGATTTTCAGGTGCAAGCCTTCATCTTTTCTCTTTTTCTCGACGATCATAGCTCTGTTTTCAACAAAATCGTTAGCAATCGATAGCATAAAAGCAGGGGAATCCATTAATGGCAGTACCCAGATGTTAATTTCACCTGCAAACAAGTTTGTATTGGGAATATTCAATCCCCAGGGCTCTAAATTTCATTACTTGGGCATATGGTACAACAACATCCCACTAACTGTCGTGTGGGTCGCAAACAGAGACAACCCACTTGTAAATTCCTCTGCTCATTTAGTATTCAAAGGAGAAAACATTGTTCTTCTGAACAAAACAGGTGGGATTTTATGGACTTCCAATTCTCCACGATCAGTGAAAGAACGAGAGGTTCAGCTGTTAGATACAGGAAATTTGGTTTTAAGAGAAACAGAGTCTCAAGGTTATGTGTGGCAGAGTTTCGATTACCCGTCGGATACTCTGTTACCTGGGATGAAACTGGGTTGGGATTCGAAAACCGGCCTGAACCGAAAGTTAACGTCTTGGAAAAACCCAAATGATCCATCGTCTGGGGATTACACGTACAGTGTAGAAATGGATGGGCTTCCACAACTTGTAGTTCGTAAAGGGCCCATCATAACATTTCGGGGCGGCCCATGGTATGGTAAAAGGTTTAGTGGAAGTGGGGATCTCAAAGCAACAGCAATTTATGCGCCGAAGTTTGATTATAATGGTGATGAACACAGAGCGCTGTTTTCGTATGAGGCGAGGAACAATTTCTCTGTAAGATTGGTGCTGGGCGCGGCGGGGTTATTTCAGCAGCTGTATTGGGTGGATGATGGAGAATATTGGTACCCATTGTATACATTGCCTGGAGATGGGTGCGATGTGTATGGAATCTGTGGGGAATTTGGTGTTTGTACGTTTTCACTCACAGCAGAATGTGATTGTATGGATGGGTTTGAACCCAAATGGCCTGATGATTGGGAAATGTTTAGGCGTTCTGGTGGATGTGTTAGAAAGGACAATCGAACCTGTGGAAATGGCGAGGGGTTTAAACGAATTAGTAGTGTGAAATTTCCAGATTCTTCAGGGTATTTTGTGAATGTTAATATGAGCATTCAAGACTGTGAGGCGGCGTGTTTGAACGACTGTTCTTGCTTGGCTTATGGAATAATGGAGCTTCCAAATGGCGGCTATGGCTGTGTTACCTGGTTCCATAAACTTATGGATGTTAAATTTGTTGTTTATAATGGACAGGATCTCTATGTCAGAGTGGCTGCTTCAGAATTAGGTACAAAATTGCTATTATCTCTGACTCTCCATATAATACTGTCCATTTTGAGATATAATACTGTCCATTTTAAGCTACCCTCAAACATAGTAAATTATAGAGTCTCCCCTAAGACCTATCGAGGCCTCAAACAACCTCCTCTTAATCGAGGCGAGGCTCGACTCCTTATTTAGAATCCTCAAACAGGGGTTCGATACTTGAGTCACTTTTGATTACATCTTCGAGGGTCCCAACTTCTTTTTCGACATTTAAGGATTCTATTGACATGACTAAGTTAACCATGTTAGGAATCACGAATCTCTATAATGGTATGATATTGTCTACTTTGAGCATAAGCTCTCATGTTTTGCTTTTGAGTTTGGGCTTCCCAAAAAGACTTCGTACCAATGAAGATAGGTTTCTTACTTATAAATTCATGATCATTTTTTAAATTAGCCAACGTGTGACTCCCTCCCAACCAACCTCGACATCGACAGCTATAATTTATAACAATGCTTCATCTGCTGTAGATTCAACCAACAAGAAACTTAAGGTTGCTGTCAGTGTGTCTATGGCTTCATTTCTAGGCTTCTTGGGCTTTGTTATTTGCTTTATTCTTGGGCGTAGAAGAAAAGATAGAGGTAAGCAGTTTCTCTATTGCTTGATTGGTCTGTCATTTGTTCATGGCTCATATATATTTCTTTTTGTTGTCTCTAAATCTGGTAATAGGTAATGTGATCACTCCTGAGATCACTGCAGGTGAGATTCTAGCTCAAGAAAATGATGTTGAGATGCCAATCTATGATCTTACAATGATCGAGGCTGCCACGGATAATTTCTCCTTCTCGAATAAGATAGGTGAAGGCGGGTTTGGTCCTGTATACAAGGTAGTCTTTCTTACCAACGTCTTTATATTAAAACTCATTTCATAAACCAATAGTGTGAGATCCCACATCGATTGGATAGGGGAATGAAACATACTTTATAAGGGCGTGAAAACCTCTCCCTAGTAGACGTATTTTAAAACCTTGAGGGGAAGTTCGAAAGGAAAATCCCAAAAATGACAATATCTACTAGCGGTAGGCTTAGCTGTTATAAATGGTATTAGAGGCAGACACTGGACTGTGTGTTAACGAGGACGCTGAGCCCCAAGGGGGCGGACACAGGCGGTGTGCCAGCGAGGACGTTGGGCCCCAAAGAGGGTGAATTGTGAGATCCCCATGTCGATTGGAGAGGGGAACGAAACATTCGTTATAAGGGTGTGGAAACCTTTCCCTCGCAGACGCGTTTTAAAACCTTGAGGGGAAGCCCAGAAGGGAAAGCCAAGAAATGACAATATCTGCTAGCGGTAGGCTTGGGCTGTTACAAATGGTATCAGAGGCAAACACCGGACGGTGTGCCAACGAGGACGCTGAGTCCCAAGGGGTGGACACAGGCGGTGTGCCAGCGAGAACGTTGGGTCCCGAAGAGGGGTGGATTGTGAGATCCCACGTCGATTGGAGAGGGGAACGAAGTATTCTTTATAAGGGTGTGGAAACCTCTCCCTAGTAGATGCATTTTAAATCCTTGAGGAAAAGCCTCGTAAAAAAGTCCAAAAAGAACAATATCTGTTTTCGATGGGCTTGAGCGGTTACCATATTACTTACGTACGTATGCTATATATATTGTAGGGTAAGCTTTCATGTGGACAAGAGATTGCAATAAAGAGGCTGGCAGGGGGTTCTGGCCAAGGGCAAAACGAGTTTAAAAATGAAGTTACGTTGATTTCCCAACTTCAACATCGAAATCTTGTCAAGCTTCTTGGTTTTTGCATTCATAAGGAAGAAACATTACTGGTTTATGAATATATGCCAAACAAAAGCTTAGACCACTTCCTCTTCGGTGGGTACCAAACTTGTTCATCTCCCTGTGTCCTCTAGCAGAACAAATGTTCATTTTATCTTTCTAATTCATATCTTTCCCCTGATATAGATAACGAGAAGAGATATTTACTCAATTGGCAAAAGAGATTCGACATCATAATCGGGATATCTCGAGGACTTCTTTATCTCCACAGAGACTCGAGGCTAAGAATAATACATAGAGATCTCAAAGTAAGTAATATATTACTCGACAGTGAAATGAATCCGAAAATTTCAGACTTTGGCATGGCACGTATGTTTGGCGAAGATCAAACTATGGCAAAAACCAAAAGAGTTGTCGGTACTTAGTAAGTATTAAGACAATTTCACTCTGTGACAACATTTTTTCCATTCACGTTCTTTGTGAGTTATGAATCGGTTCAGTGGCTATATGTCTCCAGAATATGCACTCGACGGGTGTTTTTCATTGAAGTCTGACGTGTTTAGCTTCGGGGTCATTCTTTTGGAGATAGTTAGCGGTAAGAAGAATAGAGGGTTCTTCCATACCGATCATCAACTCAATCTTCTCGGACATGTAAGTATGAGTAACCAAACCGAAAAAAACGCTTCTCGAGCATGGAAACTAACTTCAAGCTGTGAAATCTTCAGGCATGGAAGCTTTGGGATGAAGGAAATGCTTTGGAGTTGATGGATACAGCATTGGAGAACAAATTCCAACCTTCTGAAGCACTACGATGCATTCAAATTGGTCTTTTGTGTGTTCAGCTGAGCCCTGATGACAGACCAACTATGTGGTCGGTGCTTTCGATGTTGGAGAGTGAAAACATGTTATCTTATCCTAAACAACCTGGGTTTTACACAGAGAGAATGTTTTCTAGGACTGATAAATCATTAGCTGAAGCCTCTACTTCCAATGAAGTGACAGTTACTTTGGTACATGGTCGTTAGTGAGTATTAAAGTCACTTTGTAAAGAGTACTCATTTTCATTTGCATTGCATTGTTCGAGTATCAAATGAACATGTTCTTAGCAGTTCAAGATGTCTGGAACGTAGGTGGAACTTAGGTAATGTGAGACAATTTTTCTTCTTTATTTCATCTTCGGGTTATTACAACCGTGGTACAAAAGATTAAACAGCAAATACTTGCGGCTAAAAGTTCATAAAGTCGAGTAAATTCTAGAACGTTCATGGATGTAAAGAATTAGTATGGATCTAGAATTTTCCAAAGGGTCAAAATAACCGATTTACCCTCTCGAGTTGGATCGATTTTTCAAAATTTTTACTATTTTCTTAAATTATCGAAATCTTTTTATGCGTCATTTCAAAATATAGTCTCTAAAACATTTATCGTATTTCTAAAAGCTCAACTAGCGTATAAACAAAAACAATTAAATTATTATTTTTATCATATAACATCCTCCCATCCTCGTATGTGAATTATATCTCCACTCTTTCATACAACATCGATTTCACAAGCTTCTCAAGCATTGGAAGTTTTTGATTTTCATCATAACCATATAAAATCGGAACAAATCTCGCAATATTCAAAGAAGTCTCGATGAATGCAAGAGAAAATGGACTCGACGATAAACATTCTCTATTGAGCTTCTTCCATGCATGCGAGATCAAATTGGCTATGTGTTGTCGTGAGCTCTCAATCGAAGCATCTTTATTGTCTTTCATGTAGTAATTCACATATGATCCATCATATCCGTCTTGATTCTCATCCTAAGTTCATAAAGAAAGCTAAACTCATCATGATCTATCAAGTTAGAGAAGAATATCGATTCATCGATTGATTTGTACGAACCTTGGCGCTTCCTAAGTCGTCTTGAAGCCTCAAGATTGTTGCGGTAGAAGAAATAATTTCTGGGTCGTTGTCTAAAAGCTTCACGGTTTCATGGTTTATTCTTTGTCCTAACAAGAAGAACGCATGCACTAACACTACGTGCACTCCACTGCTCACTGCTCCATTTCTTAGATACTCTTCGGCACTTGGTGAGTAACCAGAAACGAACCATTCACTTTCTACGAGGAATGCGTCGCAAAGCTTGGCCCACTACAAAAATAGTCAAAATAATGGATTAATATAAATAAATATTAACGAACACGAATTAGGTTAAGAATCATAGACCCTCCACACACGGGTCTCCACACATTTTGAGCGGTGAGATGTATTCCTTACTTATAAATCTATGATCATCTTCTTAATTAGCTAATGTGGGACTCTCTTCCAACAATCCTCCCCTCGAAAAAACTATACCATAGAGTCTCTCCTGAGAAATATGGTGCCCTCGAACAGTTTCCTCCTCTGAGGTCTATAGAGCCCTTGAATAGTCTCTCCTTAATCGAGGCTCGACTCCTTTCTCTAGACCCTTCAAACAAAGTACACCCTTTATTCGACCATTGAGTTACTTTTTACTACACTTTCGAGGCTCAAAACTTTTTTGTTTGACACTTGAGGATTCTATTTGATATAGCTAAGTTAAGGGCATGTCTTTAATACCATGTTAGGAATAACAAACCCTACTTACTAGTATCCTTGAATAAAGTACACCCTTCGTTCAACCCTTGAGCCACTTTTGACTACACCTCTGAGGCTCACAATTTTTTTGTTCGATACTTGAGAATTTTATTGACATGATTAAGTTAAGAGCATGACTCTGATACCATATTAGGAATTACGAACCCTCCACAACAGTATGGTATTATCCACTTTGAGCATAAGCTCTCCTGGTTCTGCTTTTATTTTCTCCAAAAGATCCCGTACTAATGGAAATGTATTCTTTACTGATAAACCCATGATTATCTTGGGACTTCCTCCCAACCGTCTTCAACAAATTAATGAGTTGAGTATGAATATAATTACCGATTTTTTTAAGGAGTTGATTGGATTCCAACCATGCTTCCTATGGATTTTACTGCTAATTTCATTTGTCATTTCATAGAGCGATTTGAAACAAATCCTCATACAGTCTGGTAGTGCTTCAGCCACCGTAAGATCCCATCTGCAGCAACAAATATGGGGAATAAGTTTTCAGTTCTCTTGAAATCAACATACAATGTATTTGAATTTGAATTTGAATTTGAATTTGAATTTGAGTTCATACCTTCTAACAGCTTCTGTGAACAGCTTAAGTTGGTCGAGCGAGGCGTAAACATCGAACATGTCGTCAATAAGATAGATAAAAGAGATGGGTTTTGAAAGTTCAACTCTTTCCTCAGAAAAGCATGGATCTGTGAAGCAAACTAACGAACAAATGTACCATTTAAGCGGTTGGTCCCTTGCAAATCCCAACACTTTGCCCAAACCTGTGTCTTTCCACCATCTAGAACCAACACGACATGAGTTTAACGTTAGTATAGGAGAACATAATTTGGTCGGTTAATTGTTAGGAATCATGATTCTATTCATCACATTAAATTAACTAATGTGGGACTCTTTTCCATTTATCTTTCTCTCGAACAAAGTACATTATAGAGCTTCCCTTGAAGCCTATGGAGCACTCGAACAACCTCCCATTAATTGAGGCTCGACTCTTTCTCTGGAGTCCTCGAACAAAGTATACCTTTTGTTCGATACTTGAGTCACTTTTGACTACACTTTCGAGACTCACTTCTTTGTTCGACATTTGAGGATTCTATTGACTAAGTTAAGGGCATGACTGTGATACCATGTTAGAAACCACGACTCTCCACAATAGTATGATATTATCCACTTTGAGCATAAGCTCTCATGGCTTTGTTTTAGGTTTCTCAAAAGATCTCATACCAATGGAGATATATTTCTTAAAACCCAGCCAATATGGGAACTCCCTCCCAACAATCCTCCCCTCGAACAAAGTACACTATAGAGCCTCCCCTGAAACCTATGGATTCCTCGAACATCCTCCTCTTAATCGAGCCTTGACTCCTTCTCTAGAGTTCTCAAACAAAGTACACTACTTGAGTCACTTTTGACACCTTTGAGGCTCACTTTTTTGTTGGATTGTTTTGACATGGCTAAGGTAAGGGCATGATTCTAATACCATGTTAGAAATCATTACTCTCCACAATAGTATGATATTATCCACTTTGAGCATAAGCTCTCATGGCTTTACTCTCAGCTTCTCCAAAAGGTCTCGTAACAATGGAGATATATTTCTTACTTATAAACTCATGATCATTCCCTAAACTAGCCAAGGTAGGACTCTCTCCCAACAATTCTCAACATTAATTTAGTTGAACTTACTGTGTGAACCGATAAAGTTCCCGACGACGCATGTCCTGGGCAACGCTGAAATCCATTTTGGCGACAAGTTGGAAATCATGGGTCCATCTATTCGTGTCCGGTAAATCCCCCATTCCAAAGTAATCCTTCACCATGAACTTAGAGAAGCTCGTATGATAAGGATTCGCCAAAGCTTTAGCAACATGGTTAGCTTTTTTACAATCAACATTGTTCATGACGTATTCACTCATGATTCGGGCGCTAAAAACTCGAGCTTCCTCGAGTATAGCTTCGTTTGGCATGCAAAATTGCGAAGCTTCAAACAAACTCATCACCCCATTGATATCATTCTCAAGCTCCTGCTTGAAATGGCCGTCCTCGTCCATGAAAGCCTCGAACATGTCTGATGGCACGAAGTAGCCACCTTGTCGGAGGAGTCGAAAGCGAAGAGCGACTTCATGAAGGTCGTGGTTTGCATAACCGACGTCGAGGTTGAGTGAGGCTGAGTAATGGCGTTGTAAAATAAGGTCGATCTCGGCTTGGAAACGGTAGGCAATGTCGAGACGGTGAGCCGTATCGATCAAGCTTAAAGCTTCCAATGGGTCATTTAGATCGCTCCATTTTGTTGGAAAGGGGTTTCGAGGAGGATTAATAGGGCGTTGCTGGATCTTTGTTTCCGCCATTAAGGGTTGAAGGAGAAGACAGCAAATTTAAATTTTGCTTTGGTTTGGTTTGGTTTTTTATGTGATGGATGGTTTGGTCTTTCCTCCTTATATAGAAAAATGAAGAGAGCTGTCGTTGTTTGAATGAACAAAAATATTAATAATTTAATATGTTCTTTAAGATTCTTTAATCAATGGTTGTTCGTTTTTTATTTTTTATTTTCAAATAAAGTATGAACTACAATAATTTTTGTTCAAAAGCTAAATCATATTTTTTTAAAATTTAAAATATACTTCTTTCGAAAATTACAATAAAATTATTGGGGTTGACATTGTTTGGAATCATGATTCTCCATGATGGTATGATATTGTCTACTTTGAGCATAAAGTCTCATGGTTTTGCTCTAATTATAAAAATAAGAAGTTAGTAAGTAGAGTAACCAGATTAATTTTAGGAGGAAGTTGGGTGACTTGTGCAATCTCGTGGGTAAATAATGATGAGATGAGATGCATGTTATTTCCACGACAAAAAATAATAAATGATTAAGGTTCATGTGTAAATCTTTTTTAGAAGAGAAAATCTAAAAAGGACAATATCGGCTAGTTGTGGGTTAAGACCGTTACGAATGGTATCAGAGCCACACACCGAATGGTGTGCCAACGAGAACACTGAGTGAAGAAGGGAGGTGGATTGTGAGATCCTACATAAATTGGAGAGAGGAACTTTCGGGGTGCACATCGGGCAGTGTGCCAGCGAGAACGCTGAGCCCCAAAGGGGATGGATTGTGAGATCTCACATCGATTGGAGAGGGAAGTGAGTGTCAGCAAGGGCACTGAGTCTCAAGGGGGATAGATTGTGAGATCTCACTATAGGGGAATGAAACATTTTTATTTTAAAACCCAAAAAGGAAAACCTATATCGGTGGGTTTGGCCTGTTATATCCTTACCTTTTATAAACATTTCAAAACTACTATTATAGTGTTTGACGAAAAATTAATGGTATACACATATAACACAGCTCAAGTTTACTGCTAGAGAGTAGATATTGTCTGTTTTGGCTAATTATGTATCGTTGTCAAACTCATGATTTTAAAATGCATAATGCTAGGGAGAGATATCCACACACTTATAAGACATATTTTGTTCTTCTCCCCAATTGACATGGAATAAACGTGGAATAAAAGCGATACTAACT